ATACCATTCCTTCACTTAGCACAGGTCTCAGATACAGATGAGCCAGCCTCAATTGTACCTATCTCAAATCAGCCAACCACTTAAACTACCGTTTCAAAATACCTCAGCAGACTGCCACTGTTTGTTCCAGTCACTCCCAGTGAACCGAGCTCCTCATGAGTCAACCAATGCAAAGATACTATGCCAACACTCAGGGGTTGTATTCTAAGCTCTCAGAACTGCAAGATCGATATGAAACAACAACGTGGGACCACGTAGCAGTTACTGAAACTTGGCTCTCAAAGGACATACTTAATCCAGAGATTAAACTCAATGAGCTGTCAGTCATTCGAAATGCTCGTTCATGTCGCGGTGGCGGTGTTGCTTTCTACTATCACGATAACTTGAAATGTGGAGCGCTTAACGAAAATTTCCTTGTTATTCCCGACGCACTTTTGCTGACTGCACCTAGCACGTCATAATGTTGGTTCACAGAAGACGAGGGATGTTTGTCTCTTAGCAGTTATTTATAGGCCTCCGAACTCGTCAGCATACATCGATAACATTTTGGTAAACGCCCTCCGCTATGCTGTTTCTCAAAAGTACTCTCAATATTTTATAATGGGCGACTTTAATGTTCCTTCAATAGCATCATTGTCCCTTAGTGTAACAACAGTTAAATCGAAACTCCTCGAATTCATGTATATGACAGTTTGGTATAACCATATACATTGTCCAACCAGACACTGCGGTTAAAACAAGCCATCACTCTTGGACTTGAACCTGACTATAGAATAGTTGATGTTTGATTCAGTAGCCTGCGATCCTCCACTGCGCCGTAGCGACCATTAAATCCTAACATTTGGTTTCGTGTGTTATGCCAGTATTGTTGCTAAAGAAAGAGCGACTCAACGAAATAATACCGGCTATTTTAAGCTGCACAACTTAGCAGCAACCTTTGAATGGGACCTGTAAAAGCACAGCTCAGCGCATGACGGGAGGAGTAAACTAAAAAGCAAAATAAATTGGTTCATAAACTCAGCACCGAATGTTGTATTATTACGAGCATTGCGTCGGACCAATACATGGATCCAGGGCAGAACACGTAAATGGATTAACAAAATAGATGAAATCTGGAGGCAACATTCGCTAAGCCCATGTGAAATTACATGGCAGAATTACGAAGTCATCAAAACTACTACACTACTACACTACATTATTGTCAATAGGAACGAATGTCAGGAGAACATGATGCTGAAATTTACACGTAACATCAAAATACTATACAGATTTTTTAATGGCAAAAGAACGGTTAAGTCCGGAATACCACCATTTAAGATGGCCAGTAGCCTAAAGATTACTGCTGTGGATGCCGCAAACGCTCTAACCTTGCAGTTTGGCTCGGTAGCTAAAATACCATGGAACCTTCGCTATGACAACTCCTAACAAAGCTGTTGGCTTATCCAGCGTCAGTTTTACTCCAGCAGCTGTTGCAAGCAAATTACAGTCATTCCGGGAGTACATTGTCCCTGGAATCGACAGGTTCTGACAAAAATTACTGAAAGCTTTTCTCCTTATATAGCATCACCACTTGTAACCATTTTCCAGGGTCTGCTTAACTCCCATACACTCCCATCTGTGTGGGAAAATGGATTTATCACTCAAATATACAAAGGAGGTTAGCGATCGCATCCTGCCAACTACCGACCTGTTATTTTCCTTCCCGTTTTATCAAAAGGGACGGAATCGGTAATTGCAGATGAACTGATGCAATACTTTGAAATTCAACATATACTTCCTGATGCCTGACTTGGTTTCAAGGGCAGACCACCTCTTCACACCAATTTGCTGATTAATCGAGATTCATGGATCATGGCGGCTGATGAAAGTCTTCGTAGTTGTGATTTACTTGAATTTTTCGAAAACACTTGACAGGATCAAGCACTACTTGCTCTTCCAAATGCTTGCTGCCTACGGTATCAACAATTTCCTGCTCAGCTGGTTAGAAAAGGACCTACACGAGACAGCAATCGAGGTAAGAGTAGCCGGCACTCACTCTACAAACCTGTGCGTCTCCAGTGGTGTACCACAATGATCAGTCATCGGCACGATACTGTTTTTAGTCTACATTAACGACTTTCCGCATACATTCTATGTCCGATGCAAATATTTGCAGACGATGCTAAAATATGGAAGGCAAATTCCCTCAACATCCGACCGTGTCTACCTCCAGGAAGATCTGACTCGGATTAACGAATGGGCAGAAGTGAACCAGTTTCCACTTTACAATGCAAACTGCCACCTGCTGACGATGCGCAGCAGCTCGTCAACACATAAATTTTGGGACAACACGTCCTGCAACACGTGACTAGTGAACGCGACTTAGGTATAGTCGTGCATGTGAGTCTTGGCAGTTCGCTCCAATGTTCGAAACAGCAAGTGTGGCAAAGTTGAACTGGCGACTTCGTAGGCGAGCTCTCTGGCCTTGGAGTGACGGCTAGTACCATTGCTGATTAACTCCTACATTAGCACTCACGTTAAATATGTAAGTCAGGCTTGGTGTCCATTGTTAAAACAAGACATTCGCCTATTGGAACAACCTCAAAGAAGAGCCACAGAAGCAACGCGTTGACTATCCGGTCTGAGTTACGAAAAGCGTCTTCGTGTACTCGGTGTGTTCCCAGGAGAATACCGACGGGTTCGCGGAGATCTTACTCTTGCACACCGGATACCAACTGAAAGCGAGCATCCATGCACATTACTGTTGACTTTGGCCACTCAAAAACAAAGCCGAGGTAACTACCTGAAAATAATGACGCAACCTTCCCGTCTGAACAGTAGAAAGTATATTTTCCCACTTATAATATGTTCTCAATAGGATGCATATGTGGTGAACGCAACAGACATGATGACTTCCGAAACACTCTTAGTGATAAATGCTAAACGACCGTTTTCTAAAATGCAATGATTTAACCACATTCCACGTTGGTGCATTACGATGTTAATTTACTTTGGATATCCATTCTCTGGGTCTTCAATAGTTATGCTTTTTATCCCATCATGCACTAATAAACTATTGAACACTCAAACGCTCGGTTTTGGATAGTCCTTTTAATCTGAATGACTGAAATATGCTTCAAAGAGTACCAGACTGCAAATAGAGATTAATTGTCACAATTCAATCACACGGCAGACACTGCAAATGTAACTTTGAATCCAGTGTGTCATTTTCACTAACTGGCGTAGCAAGTGACTTTCTGTGTAAAACTAATTCATTGGCGTAATCTCATTTCATCAGTTAAACAGCTTTAAGAACACGATAGTTTTCCTTGAGAATGGAATACATTCTAGCGCGACCAACTTGGTAAGCAGGTCGCAATTCTCTAACATTTTCGAAAGTTATGGAAAATATATTTGTAATATTTTGGCATGACCAATATGTTTTCGTACTTTGCAAGAGCCTTGCTCAGAAAATAATGTGGCAAACCCTTTTTATCATTCGGTGCAGGTTTCTATTGTTAAACCGAACATATTCATAACCTATTTGATGCTTGCTCATGGTCTGCTGATATTCATAATTTTATTATATGATTTGATAACCAGTGCACAAGCAATGGTTATAAGGTACATAATATTTCTTATCTAGCTTACAAAGGTCCCATATTTACAGCACACAACTACTGAGTGTTAAAGGTTATTTACGTGCGAGCTACAAGCCTTATTAACTAATCTCCGCTACTACGATAGACAACATTTTACACTGTTTAAATTGTTGAAATAATTCTCGGAGAAGACATCGGAAACAGAATTTAGTGAAGGAGGTTGCCTACAGAGCTTCATCATGAGCTAATACAACAATAATGCAAGATAGAATAGACAAAATAGTTTTAAAATCGGTCAGTCCCTGAAGCAAAGCAACTAATCGATAGGCCTTGATGATTGATCTGGTGGATGAGGAGTCAGATGAAGTGGCGGGTCTGCCATTGTTAGACGCGTTGGTCTGAGACCAAGGCAGGGACGAGTTTTCTCTGCACACATAGATCCGACTTATAGAGCCCATTTGCCATCGCTCAGGCTGCCGAACCCGGTGGCATCTGACCGCCCTTGTGTAACCTCTGGTGACAGTAGATCGGAGGGCATGCGTCATGTGAATCGACTTGATGATCGGAGTCTACTAGGTGCGACATTGCTGCACTGGTTACATTTGTCCTTGCACCGCTGTAGAGGCAAACTAAACAATGCTCTCGAACCCCAAATAACAGTAGCGAGTGTCCATACTTTATCCGCGCCACGGCCTCAGAAGTACCGCGATCAACAATGGCAATCACGCCACTTCACCTGGCTTCATATCAACCAGACCAATCCCGCAGACTTATCGATTACATACTCTGCTTCCGTGACTAACCGATTTTAAAGCCAATGTTTCTATTCTAGCTTGCTTTATTGTTGCTGTATTAGCCTGGTGATGAAGTGCTGTAAAAAGCTTATTTCCTAGTTTATGTTTCTGATGAGTTCACGTTGTATCTGAAAGTTTGACCAGAAGAAATGTGATTCTGCTGCCCGAGCCCGTTTGTTTGAACACAACATAGGTGCAAGACAGAATTTCCAAAAAAATATGAGTTGCATGAAAATAGTTTGCTGTTAGCATTCAGGTAAATACTATACCTAACGTTAGTTCTTAAATGACCAGGTAATAAATATCTCTTTTTTCTCTGCTACTCATAAACTCAGACGTTTTCATCAGTTTTTGCAGTCCTATACACGTTTGCTTATTTGTATGCTAATTTCTCCGGTATATTTAGATCTATGCTTGGACGGACACAATATTATAAGTTTTATCTTCATTGTGGATTAATGTAGCCTGTCAAAGCTTGAACTAGGTATATACCACAGTTAAGTTTGTAAAAAACAAATGACCTCAGTTCAATTTTCCATGAAATGTTGCAGGATTGAATACAACTAAAGGATAGTGATTTAATCCGCGTTCCATAGAATGTACACAAAATACTGATTAAACAAACCTTCTGTTTTCCTAATATCTTCATTGCATAGTACTGTTTATTCCTTTTGTGTTTCACCAACATAACGCGGCCAAATGATCCAGTGCCGAGAGTTTTGATCCGGTCAAAATCATTAAGGGTCGCAGTGTCCTGATATGAGCAAATGGGAACAAATAACAAGAACATCGACAATCCCACCCTGTGTACATATGTGCTGGAGGGAAAATGAGGGTTTCAGAATGCGTGCAGAGGTAACAGAACTCATTAGTTAATACACAATTGTATCGTTTTGGAGGTAAGTTATGACAACGTTGGAGCTAAGCGGTATGAGAATTCGAACTGGATTCAACCTCTATAAACGCATAATTTCAAGGGACACTGAAATATACTTTGCATTAATAATACTTGGAATACATTTGAACCGTTGATAATACATGGAAAATACGTATGAGTATCAATGCTTTTTAATTAACAAGCACAATTTGTGTGTACGTTAGATGTCTACTGCATGAAAATAGCTAACATTTTAATCCAAGGTTTGCTTGCATTGGCAACAACTTATGACGGCAATCATGTGTAACTTACTTTTTAAAGACACAAATACTATGTTGGTTAAAATGTTTCACCCACATATTTTTCTGAAGACGTTTGAAACTCTTCAGCAAATAAAACAAACAAAAAGTTATTTTCAACTGCATTGCTATATCAATTACTTACCATAAAATAAAGTTGCAGGTATCCCTTTAAAAAATTACAGATGCAAGATTTAATCTCCCGAGAGAACTATAATATTTAAGCATCCACATATATTTATAATAAGAACTAGCCTTGTCTATTGCGTTATTGGAATTAATAAGCTCAATTGTGTTACAATCATGGTAAGCGCATAAAACCCATCGTAATGACAACAGAACAAGCAAATTCAGGAAGTTATTTCTTTGCACAGCTTTGACCTTACTGGCCTAAGCAACATATACACAATGCAAAAATATAAAGCAGCGAAAGTAACATCACGCATCCGTTTGGGCAAATTTTCGAATAGTTTTGCATTCGAAAGCTGAACATAAGCAAGCAACACACTTACCTTCGATGGTTTTTCGTATTTGCCGTTGAATGTCTTCAGTTCGTCTTTCAGGTAGTCATGAACTATATAACACGAGTTTAGAAAAAGCGGTCAACAGTCATGATATATTTTACATGAAAATTTGCAAAATATTTTTTATATGTATGCTGTCACATGTGATGGTGTTAAAACGTGTTATCAGTCTAGTACTACAATACCAAGTGGGCACAATCATTTAGCAACATCTCTACGTTTAAAATTGTAAAATGTTAAGCAAAATGGATTGTCCCAGTTTAAGAATGTGTGTACTATCTTGATTGACAAAATAGATTACAGCATATCTTTATAACTTCAAGTGAATTTAAGTTTTATGCACACTCGTATGAGTACTTTTTATAATTTACGGCAGCAAAAGATCATGGAGTAATAATATAGCATCGTTAAGACATAACGCCGTATAAATTGATAAAGGAAGCTTAAGGGAATGCGCCACACAAACAACTGGACCGAAATATACAAGTTACATTTGTACGCTATTAAAATGGTTCTATTGTGCTTAAATACGGTAGTAAGCACATAACGAGAAGATGACATTTAAGTTAAAAGTTTGCTACTTTAAATGTGCTTCATCAAAATACATCAATATCTATCATGCGCGTTATCTCACATTGCTGTTAAAAAAAGGTTTGCACACATCGGTTCTGGCAAAATTGCAAGTTTAGTTCCCTAATAATAACTCAAACCCATTTTGTGAAAACTGATTAAATCCCAAGCAGCTAGAGTAAAATTATTGCTGTGTATTCGAAGATCAATGGCCAATTTCGATGTTAAGGATTGTTAAATAGCTGCAAATAAAAATAACTATGCACAAACGTGACTAGTTTGCTATTGCAGGAAAGTTATAAGCCTAACCGTTAGTGTTTGGATTATTAATGTACGCTTGAGCATTGCCACGAGATTTTGAAAGAAATCATATAGCTGTTTTATCTTAAATTTAAATGTGGTATTGCCCAGATTATATTTTCTGCGTGATTATTATTAAAAAGGTAAATTGATGCGCATGCACTTAACACTTATATACCACAAACGTTTAGCGAACTGCAAACAAAGCATATGATAGGCTGTTTGAAAACGGTCGTAAGTCAGCAGGCAACCTTAATTGTGGATTATATGGCAAAAGCTACCGTTTGATACACACAACAGATACTTGATCACACTCATAAGTACCGCTAACTGACTTTTAGCAAATAATCGTGTTCGCCTCTGTCCTTTAAATGAATAGAATGCTACAATTCCATTCACTTAACTCGGCTTCATAAAATCCCTTATAGGCACGAATAGCTTTTGCTGTAAAGTACGTTAAGAGTGCAATTGTACTGGCTGCAACGCGAAGCCGACTGTGTCATGTGGTAGGCGCCGGCTTCCTACTGCGCTTCCTAGAGGCGTTGACAGACGAGTTTGTACATGGGTGCTATTAACTAAGCATCACAAGGAATGTGCACAATGACATGTCAGGATAGTTCGCAGATACATTTGCAACATTTTACAAAGAGAGGTCTGTCATTGAGGGCCGAATTTCCCATAGCAAAAACTTCAAAAGACTTAACCAGCACTCTAATTAAATCAACGTGTGGAACAACGATGTGTGGGTAGTTATGATCCACTTTTTTAATAAATGGGGTTATGCTTATGAGATTTTTAAAGGAACAGAGCCAATACGTTAGTATCTCTCCGCAAGTATTTAGGACGGACTCTGAATATTTGTTGCTGCAATTCTGCTGTAAATATGTTTACCTTTTTCAGATAGTTGGGATAAAAGCCACAATTAGTTAATCCAGACCACATGTTGAGTAAAATGTAGGACAAAATTGAAAATAGCAGTTACGGACACTTACAGAAGTCACCACGCCACATAACTTCTGTTACCTGCGCACTTCAGTATATCAATTAGGAAGCTCAAGTCATCGCATAAAACGTATTATCATTGGCCCTACTCAAATAAGTGTCCAATATTTCTAAACAGATTTTCTTCACGCCTAAATTAGGAGGAATTGTGACACCAATTTTAAGGGAGCAGAAACATAAGCATCGGGAAATAAATACATCACTTGAAATAAACGAGGTGATTCATACTCATCGGGAACCTAGAGGTACGGTATTGAAAAACATTTGATTGGCGTGGTTTAAGGACTCTTCAGGCATGCGTAGTGGAATTTTACGTAACTGAGGTTCATTTTGGCTCACGAACAATAATCGATGAGCTGCAGAAGTACCATAGTTGCATTATCGATTCCGTTACAGCACAGAGCCAAGTACATCTAGGTTAATGGGCCTAACTATCAGCACTTCTTAAGTGTTCCAGTGTAATTTTGCCTAACACAGATCTGATACAGCTCACCTTGCATTTAAGTTCAGCTAAATAAGCTTCATATTTGGGGGCAATATAAATACTATCAAATATTCATTCATATATACAATAGTAAAAAGCGGGCAAAGCTATGAATACCTCTTTATTACAGATCCATTTTATTCATGATGCTAAAGGATTCCTGATGGAAGAAGGCTATACATTTCTTCTGACACATCGGCACCTTAGCTAAACTTTTTTCAGGACCACGTTTCTTCAACGCTACTGCTTACATGAGATTATTCTACCTATAACTTTGGTGGCGTCTTCAATATATAGCACCCAACATTCCTCAGAACAATTGGCTTGGAAGACTTAAGGACTGCTTCGACCAGACAAGAAACTAAGTTGGACGCTGTGCTCACAAACAGCCGACAGTTGTTTCCCTTACAGAAACGAGCTCCTTTGAGTAACTACGATCAATATATCTTAGAACTGTTTACAGTCATATCCAGCAGGTCTAACCTTTTAATGCGGCACAGACTTCCTTATAATTTTATCAAACGGCGGAATTACTTTTTGTAAAATATCACGAGGCTCCAGACGATGTTTCCTTAATCGCTATTTTGGTCTTCAACGATGGGTACCTGTCGATCGAGTGTGAACAATTATACACCACATCAAATATAGCTTTGAAAATTTTTGTCTTATTCAAACGAGCTATCTCATAGCAGATAGATTTTATCACCACTACTAAAGCGACTTCGAAGTATGAACGAATGGGCTTACAAATGCAAGAATGATACCCGTATCAAAGCCTAACCACGGCGATTGAATCCGAGATACAAAGATAAACAAATTATTTACATTGCGCACGGATCATGCTGCTATAACTACCTTCCTCAGCCGAGGAACCAATGGTCACAGGCCACTACGGATTAACCGCTGGTATGCGCGGTTACTGAACTATGATTTTCAAATCATCTTTTGCCCTAGCTCCGAGAACCGTATGGCAGATAGCTTATCACGTCTCCCATTGGATGATTCCGACAAGAATGAAGACGACGAAGAAAAAGTCATGATTTCTGCTTTACAATCAAGTGAGCTCTCCGCGGTTACTAAACAAGAGCTTCAAGAAGCTAACCGGAGTGATTCATATGTGCATGATGTCATTCACTATCTCTCTCAAGGCTGGCCTCGCTACGCGAAGATGAGTGGTGAACTACGGGCGTTTTATGTTTTACGACATGAGCTAGTGGTCGTTGATGATTGTCTTATGCGAGGATCGCGATTCGTAGCTCCACAGAAACTGACATCAATATTATCCAATGTTCACACGAGGGACATCCGGGTATCGTACGGACGAAGCGCCGACTTCAAGAATACTTTTGGTGGCCAAAAATGAATAAAATGGTAGAGGCGTGTGTCCGGTCTTGCGATGCATGTCAGAAGGCCGACAAGAGCTTCAAAGCAATCGATGCCCCCATCCAACCTGTTACTTATCCAATGAAACCTTGGTCGAAGGTGGCGATTGACATCATGGGACGGTTTCATTCTGCGCCCCAGCACCAGAGGAACTGCTTAGTTGCCACGTGCTATTACAGTAAGTGACCTTGCGGTACAATAGCGGAGGTGTTTGCGGTACACTAGCGGAGGTGTTTTACCATCTCTAGCTGACATGTATAATGATGATGATGATGACAGTAAGTGGCCGGAAATCCATTTGTGTGGCGATGTGACCACCTCAACCGTTATACGGTGGCTGAAACATCTGTTTGCTAGATTTGGGTTTCCTGAGGAAATTGTGACAGACAACGGTCCACAATTCACGAACTATGAGTTTAAACGTTTCGTACAACTTCGTGATGTGAAGCACGTACATACTGTCCCGTACAACCCAGCTGCCAACGGCATGGTTGAGCGCACTAATCGCACGCCAAAGGAAACTATACAGACAGCTCGTTTGTCCGGCAGGCAGTGGGAAGATGCCGTTTTGGAGGCTCTGTTTACTCACCGAACATCGCACCACAGAGCGACTGATCGCACGCCAGGTGAGCTGATGCTTGGCAGGAAGTTGCGTACGAAATTAAACGCAGCTATTTCGGCTGCAGAAAACAACGACCCCCACCAACTGGAACGTCGTCGGGGTTATCAGTCATCCTACGAAAAACGGGCCACATCGCTGCGTCCTGGAACGTTGGTCAGGCTAAAGGAGAGGCAAACACGTAAAGGAGAACCGGCACTGACGAGACCCATCAGAATTACTCGTGCGCTAGGGCCAGGAACTTATGAGTTAGCAGATGGCCGACGAGTCAACGCCAGACAGCTATATTCAGCACTTCAGCCGAAGCAGTGTCCTGAAGCGAGGGCCACCGCAGTGAACCAACCGCTGAAGAGGGGGAGTAGTGTGGCAGAGCGTACGCGAGGGCCTTACCACGACCGCACTTCGTAGCTTGTGATTGGATGCCTGTCCGTTCGCGATCAATACCAGGGTTGTTTTGAATATACTGAGTGTATGTACCGTTGGCGTGAATAGAAGTTTGTGTTGCGTACCAGTAGAGTTCTGCTTCCTCATTCGGGGCTTTGGTCGTGCTTGTTCAAGACCCTGTGTGCAGGGGACTAGTGTACGCGTAGACACAACAACGTCGAAGCAGTTCAAGACAACCATGACTGTCACTATCTATGGAGGTTTCTAAGGTAGCTACATGATAAGAGCTTTTGCAACTAGAGGGGTGG